GTGTCCTATGGGACTTGAACCTGAGTGACAGTTAGCTTGGGGCTTTTCAGAACCTGATGAAGAAAAGGCGTGAGAGAAAAGGCAGAACAAGAAGCCACAGCCAAGAACCCCCGTCCCAGGGCCACTGTCTGAGGAGCTGGATCACGCCACATCTGAAGCCCTGGCTCTCCAGGTGCGTGAGCCACTCTTCCGCTTAAACTGATTTCGGTTGGGTTTCTATAGCTTGCATCCGAAGGACTGTCGCCTAATAGATATACTTGGCTGATAATAACACAGTTAGCTAAAGGACAAGATCAATTCTGAGCCTGTCTTTGAAAGAGCAAACAGCTAGACCCAGGGGCCCTTTATCTGCCTTCTCTACTTTAGTGCAGCTCCCTGTGGACTCTGGCTATATGGGGACAAAGAGGGACCAGGAATTGGAAACCAGACTTTGCTTTTCTATGAGGACTGAGATTGAACCCACGCCCTTCACACTGAGCTACATTCCTGGCCTATTTGATTTCATTTCGAGACAGGGCCTTGCCAAGTTGCCCAGGCTGGCCTTGAACTTGTGACCCTTCTGCCTCAGCCTCCCGGATTACACTCATGCACCACCACGCCTGGCTGAAACCAGACATTCTTAATTGTCCAGTGATCTTCTAGCTGGGAAAAATACGTGCAAGAGGTGGCAAACGGACCAAGATTAATTAAAAACTTTAAAGACCTCCACAGGTGGACATTGCTGAGACAGTGCCTGCTAGGGATATTGACAGTGGTCGTCAGAGTGGCAGCGTGCAGTGGTCCCCGCGTGCAGAGCAGGGCTGTGTCTGAAGCCTCCCACGACCTGCGAGAGACACCTTCACCCCTCCACACAGAGATGAAGCTGTCACACACCCGCCAGTCTGGGTGAGGTACGGCCCCAGCATCTGCCACACCGAAAATCCTTGGAAATCTAGCACATCTCTCCCAGGCTGAGCCTGGAGTCGCCCTGTCCTTCCAGGGAGACGGCAGCATCCCCACTACAGAGCCACCCGGCTTGGCTTCGGGGCAGGGTCCACGCTGCAATGACAAGGGCCTAAGGGATGAGGCGGGAGACAGGAAGTCGCTCGCTGTGTCACTTTCCAGTCCTCAGGGGGCTGGTGTCAGCGTCTCTGTGGCCTTCCCTGTGCGGCCTCCAAAACCATCGGGGTCCCCATCGGGGGTCCTCATCCCGTCCAGCAGGAACGGGGATGGACAGGGTGAGGCCCAGCAGCCACCTCTTAAGCAGGAGAGGCAGAAGCCCACAGGTCACCACCCTCCTGGGAGCTGATGGTGGAAGTGGCCTTGCGCCAGCCTGGAAGAGAGGGAGCACTGCCTACCAGTGCCACCTCAGGAGGGCCTTTCCATGTCCTCCATGGCCCTGGTCGTGTGACAAATGGAGGCCAAAGCACAGAGAGGTGGAAAAACCACCACCCCGAACACCGGAGCAGGTCTCAGGAACCCACACGTGGGCTGGAGCGCTCCCCTCACCGCAGGGCAGCGACCGTCATCATCAGGAAAACTGTCCTGGAGCCTAGACTCGCGCTGTGGGTGTTTTGGTCAACCGGTGCCTTTGTTTTCTGAGGCTGTAACTGAGTACCACAAACTGGGTGATTTCTAATGCACAAAGGTTTACTGTGCACACGGGGCTGAAGGCTAGGAGGCCCACGGGCATGGGCTGCATCCTTGGGAGGCTTCCTGCCGTGGGGGGCACCTCTCTGCAGAGTACCGGGAGCCCAGGGCCCCTCGCAGTGACGGTGGACACACGAGGTCACTGAGTGGCCACTAGTTCCTTGCCCTGGTTCCAGCATCTCTGCAAGGCGCAGCGCCGAGGCAGGGAGGAAGTGACCTGGACTCGGAGTCTGAGCTCTGTCATTCACGCGTCCACACACACCTCGAAGTCCCTCCCGACGGGACCGCCTGGGACCGTGTACAGTCAGTGAGCGATACGCACCGACTCTGCCTCAGTTTCCCTCTGCACCAGCACACTTAGTTGGCTTTCTGGTAATAGCTCTGGTTTCTAGAGCACTGCAGCAAAAAAATAAACCCTGCTGCCAAGAAGAGGGGCTGGGGGCAGGGGAGAGAAGCCGCAGCCAGACTGGCTTTTCGGGCCGACTCGGCCTGCAGAGAGTGCGCTAACCCTGAAGCCGCCGTGTGCTGGGACTATGAGGGAATTGCTCCTCAGAGGTCCTGTCTCCAAGGCACCAACTATGGCTCCAGGGATTAAGTTTCCAACGTCTCAGTTCTGGGGGCCGAATGTTGACACCTCAGCCGCGGAGACTGCCTTTCTCAGGATCCCCTCCGCGTGTCTGAGGCCACACTCCAAGCTTCAGCCACGGGTGACCCGCTGTTAACGTGCTTACTGATTAATTTAAAGAGTTTCTGTTGACTAATTAACCATCCACTACTAACTCAGCTACACCACTAAGCAGCCAGGTTTATCAAGGTATGAACTCTTGTTTCTCAGGCTGGGAGTTAAAGGGCCTTGCACTGTGCCACATTCCACCCCTTTTTCATTTTTAAAAATTTGAAACAGGGTCTCACTAAGTCACTAAATCACCCGGGCTGGGTTTCACTTTATAATCCTCCTGCCTCAGCCCCCCAGAGTGCCGGGATTAGAGGCATGTGCCATGGTGCCCGGCTACAGATGCTTTCTTTCTTTCTTTTTTTTTTTGGTACCGGGGATTGAACTTGGGCCCTTGCGCTTGTGCAGCAGGCGACAAAACCACTGAGCTAAATCCCCGGCCCTACAGATGCTTTCTTATGCAACTCTGTGGCCAGAGTGGGCTTTCCGGGCAGGGTGGCGTTTCACTTTGAACACAAGAGTCCTTCAGATGCTCAGTCTTATACCTGTTTGCCCCCAGGGGCCCCTAACCCTGACAGACCCAGAAAGCTTTCGTCAGGGGCAGCACATCTATAGACATTTACCATATTAGAGACTTAAATCAAGAAACCATTTACGTTTATTAATTTTAAAAGAACAATAAATCACTGCATGTTAAGCATTTTTATTCTAAAGAACCAGATTTTCCCCAAAAGGTTTACCGAGAAAGGTGACACTGTTCTACACAGTTGCAAATTCTCAAATGCACAGTTTGGTAGAAGGCAGCTGGCTCCTCGAGTCTGCTCTGCCTTCAGCTGCTGGATGTCTGGATGTCGTGTCTTGTGCCCACTGGAAAACTCCACCGGATGTCCATGAGGGAAAAAGAAAAGCAACCTTGAGCATTGCGAAGAATGTTCTCTGCATCGTGTCTCTTTTTTTTTCTTTCTTTCTTTTTTTTGGTACCAGGGATCAAACTCAGAACCTTGCATTTGTGAGGCAGGTGGCGAAACCACTGAGCTAAATCCCCGGCTCTCGGCATCGTGTCTCGGTCTTCCTGGTACAGCAGTTTGGGAGTCGTAGCAGGACACCTCATTTTTCAGATGAGAAAACGGAGACTCAGAGCAGTTAAGTTGTCCACACAAGAACACACCCAGGGCCAGAGAGGTGGAAATGAGGGTCTAGGTCTAAGAGGAGGGGAAGAGGGAGGGTGGCATGTCCCATTTTAATCCATCATGAAGAAAACAAGGCTTGAATTTAGTGCAGCTAAATGCAAGCCAGGCGGCTCATGGCTGCCTCCAGGACCAAGCCACTCAGGAAGGAGGAGCCAACACTGATCCAGCACCCCCGCAGGCCCGTTCTTCATCTGCACATCTCATTTCATCTTTAGTTACCTTATTTCATCCCCTGAGAAGGGCATGTTGCACACCTGTCTGCGAAGGGGTATTTAGAAGCTGCCTGTGCGATCCTCCTCCCCCAGCCTCCAGAGGGCTAGGATTACAGGTGTGTGCCACGCCAGGCTCTAGAACATTCTTTCACAGTCGGATCTGATTGCAGCTGTCCCTGCAGCAGAGACACAGGTTTCCCGTGGGCTGCAGCTCCTCACCCCACCTCGGTCCTTGAAATGTTTCCTTGGAGGCCCATGGAACGTCTCAAGTTCCCACAGTCAGGGCCGGAACCCAGGTTGGGGACAGAGCACTTCTGCAGAGCCTCCTGCTTGTGCTGCATCAGGTCCTCTGGATGCAGGCCGCAGGTCCCGGCCTCCTGCTCAGTCCCCTTCCGAAATCCTCACTCCCTGGGCAGGACCCGACCCCGAGGGACCTATTCATGGCCTCAGCTCCCAGGCCACCCTCTGTCCAGCTGGATGCATCGAGAAGCCAACCTCAGCTGCCCTGGGCTCACACCCTAGCCCTGGCACTTAGTGTCTGGGCCAGCTACTCACCTTCCTCCACCTCCGGCTGCTTGTCAGGAAAGTGGGGCTGATGAATCACAGGACCCGTCTGAGACTTGCTGGGAAGGCAGGGAGCAGAGCCCAGCTCGGAGAGACGCACTGTGCCATTGCCCTGTTTCGTCAGGACAGAGGCACGGCCAGGACCTTCCAGGATGCAGGGCCCTGACTCCCTTTTGGCCAGCAGTTGTCCTGCCGGGACGTGTGGTCCATGTGGCCGCCTCCTCAGACTGGATTTCAAATCTGCAAATACTAGTCACTAACTTAAAAATGTTTGGATGTTATGAGCACCCAGTGAAAATCTTTGTAACCCTTCCCTGGCTTCTCTGGGTCTTTGGTTTTCACACAGGCCCTTGGCTGAGACCTTCCTGGCAGTGTCCGGGCTCCAGATGCCTCGGCTTCCCTGCCCCGCTCCAAGAGTGGCCGGGGAGGCTGAACAACCGCTGTCACTGCTGCTGCTGGCTGTGAAGTCCCTCCTGGCACTTTCCCTTTATCCCTCAGCCTGCCAGCCTCTCCCTCGTCCCCAGCTGTCCCAAGCCTGCCGCCCAGCGCCCATCGTGGCAAGGGACAGTGTGGGGCTGGGGGAGCGGGCGGGCGGAGGGGCCGGGTGCCAGCGTCTCCCCACCCTCCAGCCACGCCCCTGACAGGTGCTGGCTCTGACAGGGGCAGAGCAGGGGGGCGGGCCAGTCACTTTCCCTGCAGGGGCCTGCTCAGAGTTCAAGGGTCCCAGGAAATCATCCTCGCTTCCTTTAATCCCGCTGCTGCAGCCGAGGCTGGAGTTTGGAGTTTGACCTGCTGGAGGCCCTCCCAGAGGCAGGACCAGGGCCCAGGACGCCCCTGCCCTCGACGTGCCCTGCTGTAGAGGAGAGGAGCAGGGTCTCCCTTCTTGGAGCTTCTCAGCCTCTCCCCTCTGAAAGCCCTCGACAGACCTCAGGGGCTTGTGCCTGCATCTGGAAGAAGGTAAGCTCCGTCTGCTGTTCTGGGCTCGGGCCTGGGTCTGTCCGAAGGGCAGGCTGGTCATGCTGCAGGTGCGGGCAGTGTGCCCGGGGCAGGCTCCGTGGCTGGGTTTGGGCAGGCGGCAGGGCCAGGTGTGGGTCTCAGCTCTTGTCCTGAACCAAGTTCAAAGACAGTGAGCAACCATGTGTCCTCAAGTCCCTTACCCGCCGAATGAGAATGTGGACCTCAGCCCGGCCCAGCCCACAGGGGCGGTGTGGCAGGACCCTAGGCGATAGGAAGGCAATGTTATCTAAATAAATCATAGAAAACTGGCTGAGCTGCTGCTAACACCGGGCGAACGCAGTTTTGCGGTGTCACCTGGCAGCCTCCCGCAGGCCTCCTGTAACAGGCACAGTCATCCTGAGCACCTGAACTCGCAGCCAGTGAGTGGTAAAGTTGGGGCTTGTGGCCGCAGGCAGTTTTCAGCTGTGCTCCCTGAATAACCTGGAGGAGCGGCAGGCAGAGGACTCCTTCCTGCAAAGGGAATCCTGGAGACAGGACTTTGAAAAACGCTGTCCCTCGGCGGAGTGCCACAGTGTACAAGGCTACGCCTGCATCCGTGACTACGCCGTGCTGCGTTTACAGTGTCTGTCCGGGGGAGGGGGAAAAGTCTACCGACCAAAGCCTGCGATGGGGTTGCTGTGAGGGGAAATACCAGGACGGAGAGAAGGCGGTGTCTGGTGGAGGAGGAGTTCATCAAGCTGAGTGTAGGGAATGCATCCCCGGCAGAGGCCACCGAATGGGAGGATCCCACAGCTTTAAGGGCTAGAGGGGAAGACACAGAAGTCCAGGTCAGGGCACTCGGCGGGCACGGAGACGTTTGGCAGGAGGACAGGGATGGATCTGATTTGTGCTCCAGGTGTCTCGGGCTTCCATGAGGGGTGGGCCCCAAGTGGGAAGCTGCCAGGCCCTGTTCCCAGCTGGGCAGAGGTGACGGCTGGACGAGGGTGACAGGATGGGTTCCAGGGACCACTTGGAAGGGGCGGGCAGACCGGGAGTTGAGACAAAGGACCCATAAAGGCTTCCAGTGTGTTTGTCCTTAGGGTATTTCCAGGGCTCGGACACCGTGCCGGCAGGCTACTGGTGGAAAGGAGGGAAGAGCGGCGGGTGACCGGACTGGAGGACGATTCCGGGCTCTTGGGACGCGCACTCAGGGGGAGGCTGTGGGGCGGTGCAGTGTGCAGTGGAGACCCGTGCGTGCTGAGGGGATCTGAACCTCCACGCCTTAACCCTGCGACGTCTGCCGGCCTCTGCCAGGGAGGCGACGCTGGTGTTTGGTGGCAGGTCCTGGCTCAGAGGCCTTGGGATTTCTGTTCTCTCCAGGAACAGGGAGAGGAGGCCTCCTGGGAGGGCTCCTCAGGTCCCCGCATCCCCAGGGCACCGTCACCCTCTGAAAAGCTGCCGCAGCCCGCCGCGGCTTGAGTTTCTTTCCGAATTACTGGATCTGTGGCCTCCTAACAGGCCCGGCCGGCCTGAGCCAGCCCAAGGCCCTGGACTGTCTGGCTCCACCCGAGGACCTGTCCTTCCTTTTTGGTCCCACTTGCTGTGCACAATGATCCCTGTCCTCACAGCGAGCTGGTGCATGCGCACGGCACATTGCAGCCCTCTGCATCCCTTCTCCACTCCTTTCCCATTTGCAAATGATCTCACTCCCTGTCTCCTATCATCTGTCTTTTATTTTGCGCTGTAATTGATTGCTACTTCGGGTTTCTCACATAAGAGAAGTCATGTGCTGCGTCAGCTTGCAGGGCTGATTTTTTCACTTAACATTTGGGTCTCTAGGTGCATCCATTTCCCTACAAATAAACTCAAATTTATCCTTCTTTACAGCAGAGTAGTATTCCATTGTGTGTAAACACACATTTTCTTTATCACTTCATCCGTCGATGAACATATAGGGCACTTCTGAGATTTAGCTATTTTGATTTGTGCTGCTATAAACATGGGAATGTGTGGATCACTGATAGGGTGTCATTAACTCTGTGGGGAAGATACTTACGGGAGGAATAGCTGGGTCAAGTGGAATTTCTATTTTCAGTTTTTTGAGGACTCTTCATAGCAGTTTCTAGTGGCTGTCCTAAAGGACATTCCTACCAACAGTGTGGAAGCGTTCCTTTTCCCCCAGCATCTGATTATCATCCCCATTGTATAGACAGGGAAACTGAACCTCCAAGAGGTTCTTCTGTGAGACCACCGAGTATGAAAGAAGTACGGCTGGGATTTTCCAGGCCTGGTGATGCGCGCCGGCCATCCTAGCACTTGGGAGGCTGAGGCAGGAGGATCACCAGGAGTTCGAGGCCGGCCAGGACTTCATAGAGTTCAAGTCCGGCTTGAACTACATAGTAAGACCCTGTCTCAAAAAAGAAGAAGGAAAAGGAGGAGGAGGAGGAGGCAGCAGCAGCAGCCTGTCCAGTTCCTGCCACCCATGCTCACCAGCTTACCCCCAGCATCCCAGCAAAATCCAGCACCTTTGTGTCTATGTTTCTGACACACATGGCTGGCATCGTGCTGTAAGTGCTGCCCCACTGGTTTCATTCCCTTCTCGTTCACACTGAAACCTCTCAGAGGCTCGAGTCACAGACGCTAGCAGCACCTGGCCAGGGTCCCACCCCTCCACCCCTGCCCGTGGCCCTTGCCCCATGAACGTGTTTTCCTGATTTTCCCCTTGCACTCTGCTGCGGAAAGCTCTCACATCTCCCATGTCAGTTGCGACAGGCCAAGGGACAGGGGAACACTCTCCTTGCTTGACTGAGGTCCCTTTTGTGCCTTGGCCGATGAGCAACCTCACCCCTCCCCACCCGGCCTGAGAGGCCAGCGCCGTGGGCGGGGACCAGCAGGACACTGGGACCACAGTGGGCTGCGGGCAGACGGGGGTCGCGGCCGGGGCAAAGGTGCGAGCGGGCTGGGTACGCAGTGCAGCGAAGGGCTGGGGTGAAAAGTGGGGGCCAGCTCTGTCTTCTCGCTGCTGTGTCCTCCGTGCAGAGCAGAGAGCTTGGGTCCCGGCTGGCCCCTGATCAAGGTTTCAGTGAGCTTCCAGGGCCTGGCACAGAGCTGGGGCCTCATAGATATTCGCGGAAAAGAAACAGACGGAAGGTGGGAGGAGAGGCAAGAGGAAGAAGGGAAGGAAGGCAGAACAGCTGGTATGGAAAAAACCGTGAGGTCCTGGGTTCAAATCCGACCTCTGGCATTTCTATGACCTGCTTGCGGCAAGCCAGGGCCTAAACCCGCCACTTGGGCCGTACCAAGTGTGCCTCACAGGGCAGGGGAAGCTACAGCAAGAGGACACATCAGCTCCAGCGGCACGCCTGGCACCTGGGACAGACCGCTCCCTGAGCCCTAGCGCCCCGGGTGTCCACTGAGGAAGGGCCGCGGGCAGGGACTTGGTCTGGGAGCCTGTGCTGGGCGCAGGTCTCCGGCCCGTGGGTACAGCCGCCCTGCTCGGCTGCTGGGGGCCACTTCCCCGGGGCTCGGAAGCGCTCAGAAGCGGGGCCAGCCTGGCCCCAGCTGCGGCCCGCAGCTGATGAATCAATAACTTGTTTGTCTAGGCGGCCGCTCCCACCCCTCTCGGTGCCTGGCGGGCGAGGGTGGGCTGCGGTCTGGGCGTGGGGCGCGCAGGGCTGCTCACTGCCTTTCTCCGGCCTCCTTGTCCTCCCTGCAGGATTCTAGAACTTCTGCCCTCTCCTGCAGTTCACCGCTGCTCCTCGAAGCTGTTCCGGTGCTTCTAGCCCTCATCTTCCCCACACTCCACTGCCTTGGAGCAGCAGCAGTGGGTCGCAGTGCTTGGAAACCTACGAGAGCATTTTCAGACTCGCAGAGCCTGGGAAGTACCTCTGGCATTCAGCAGGCAGAAGCCAGAGACTGAGACAAGCTGCAAGTGCAGAAAACACTAGCGCTGCACTTGTCAACTCCAGCACCTCTGCACTTGCTCTTCATGTTCACAAAAAGTGTCCCAAATATTGGTAGAAGGCTTTCTCTCCAATCAACAGCATGGCATATTTGGCAGCTGCTTGGTCTTCATGACGTTCAAAACCACAAAACAGTTTTGTGAGTTTGGGCCTTTGGTGCAGAGCTTCGTTTCCACTCTGATGCTCCCCTCTAAAGCGTTTGGTTGGCTTTGTGTTTGGAGACAGGGTCTCACTGGGTAGTCCAGGCTGGGCTTGAACTCAAGAGCCTCCTGCCTCAGTCTCCCGAGCAGCACTGAGATGACAGCCACGCGCCCCCACACCCCGCTCCCTGTAAAACACTCCTACAAGCAGTCTTCGTCTTTCTTCGTTTTTAAATTTTAAGTCGAGTTAGGGTCTCACTAAGTTGCCCAGGCTGGCCTCAAACTTGTGATCTTTCTGCTTCAGCCTCTCGTGGAACTGAGTTATAGGCACTAGGCACGTGCCCCTGCTCTTTAATTATCCCGAGCTTCCAGAATGGAGTGGCTTCTCATTCTTATTTTTCTTAAATCCAATCTTGTTCTGTACAGTAATTGAAAGCCTCACATTACCCTTTGGATATTCCAGTGGCATCATTGCTTTACCATGAATTAATTGATTTTTAAATTCTCTTTTATACTACAGTTACAGAGAAGCATTTATTCTTTCTTTCTTTCTTTCTTTCTTTCTTTCTTTCTTTCTTTCTTTCTTTCTTTCTTTGGTATGGGGGATGGAACTCGGGTCCTTGAGCTTGCCCAGCAAGCGGCGAAACCACTGAGCTAAATCCCCAGCCCATATTTTTAAATTGTATATGTAATAACACTAACTGTGACTTTCCCTTTAGTACCTAGTAAAAGGCAGTTACAAAACATTTACCACAAAAACCGAGCATGACATCCGGTGGGTGGAGAGCCCCATGCTTACAAAGCCCAGGAGTGCTAGACTCACCTGACGCCTTCAGGTCTGCCCCTCCCCATCTCCGTCCCTCTAGCCTCCCTTGGGCTCAGGAAGGATCTGGAGGCCCTTGCATGCAACGCGTTTATTCGCACCTCAGGGTCTGTGTGTTTTCTTCGGCCACACATCCATGTCAGATTATTCATCTTTCACATCCAGCTCATGTGCTGCTCCTGGAGTCCCCCACGTGAAATTCGGTGATCTGTCCCTCACCACACCTTGCACCAGACACAGATGCACAGCGAATGAGTAGAGCACAGTGGTAGGGCCACACTGTGCGTGAGCTCACAGTCACCTATGAAAGAGACTGTGACTACACACAGGGCTTAAGGTAGAGTTAAGGGATTGTCCAGATGCTTGGGAGTGATAAGGGCTTCAGCCAGCGGTGCAACTTCAGAGCTTGAATTCTTTTTTTAAATTTAAGTTTATTGGAACATTTTAGGTATACAATATAATGACATTCATCATTGGAAATTTGCACCATTACATAATCTCTCTTGGTTCTTACTTTTCCCCCTTCCCCTGCCCTCCCTTCAACCCCTCCACCCCTCCCTATTTACAAAGACTTTGTTTCCATTTTTTAATTTTCTCATATTAATTCTATTCCCTTCTTTCCTTTCCCTTACCCCTCCCACTACCCCTTCCCCTTTGCCCCTTTTCTTCCTATTTCACATTATCTATTATATGTTTTAATCCTTGTTTACACTTTCAGTTTCTCACACTAGAGAAACTATTCAGTATTTACACATGTGTGTCCTATTTATTTCACTTAAGAGTATTGCTTC